ATGCCAATTACAGGCCTCTCTCATCTTTGTAAGTGGGAGAACTTGCACAATTGGTGGCTGACTAAATACTTTTTTGCCCCACTGTACACACACACACACACATACATATATATATATATATATATACACACACATACATACACACATTATATATAAATAAAATTGTTTTTTTAACCTCCTTGGCGGTATGATTATTTCCGTAGGCTGTAATTTTTAGGAATAACTCCCTGAAATCTGTCCGAACAAGAGTCTATTAAACATCCCGGGTATGATAAAACTTGAAACACGAAATCATAAATTATAATTTAATAAATAATAATATATTTAATTCAATTATATAATCAAACCAAAAACACTGAAATTTGAAATACAGAGGCAAATTCGCACATCGCTGAGCAAAGTCGCAAAATAGTTTTCAGTGTCTGATGACGAATTTCCCCCACGAATCATTATCACTCAATTCTGCAAGTGGTTCTGATTTACTATCGCTGTTCTCTAGCCGGTCTAAAACCGCTTTTGACATAAAGGGACGCTTTTTGGACGCCATGGACTTTTCTAAGTTTCCAGACAGAAAGAACAGTCAAAATGCAGGCAGGACAAAGCACTCGGGACAAAATGTATGTGAAATGCATTGAAACAGCAATGTTTTACTATATAATAATCATTTAAAAAAAAAAAAAAAGACATTTTTTAAAAATTTCAAATTTGCCGCCGCCGTTTCCGGCGCCCGTGCATCCCGACGTCACAGGGACCGAAACACGGAAGCCGGATGCCGGCCGGAGGAGATGGCCGGGGACACTGCAGGGGACACATTGCGGGAGCGAAGGACAAGGTAAGTGTTGCCGGGACTCCCTGAGCAGCGCCGCAGGGTAAGCCTGAGTGTAGCTTGGGGTTACCGCTCTTGGTATTGAAAGTTTACCCCGAGCTACACTCGGGAATACCGCCAAGGAGGTTAAGAAACTGTCCATTTCGTTTTTTGGCCAAGTGCATCCTAAATTTTTAGTTTTGGTCCACACTTTTCATTTCAGTGCACCACTATTAATGGTATATTGGTACATAGGGGAGCTGGGATTTAGGAAAAAAAAAAAGATGAACTTAGCCTTTAAAGATATCCCAGAAAATGAACCTTAAGAAAACCCTCTCTACAATTGCAGCCTCTGTATTTATCCTCTAAATGGTTCCCTTTAAAAAAAAAAAAAAAACGAATGTCGAAAATCAATAAAAAAATATTTATTTAATCTTTAAAGTAACATTAAAGGTTCCCTTTTTTAAAAAAACAAACAGGTCATACTTACCTGCTCCGTGTAATGGTTTTGCACAGAGCAGACCTGATCCTTCTCTTCTGGGGTCCAAGCAGGCGCTCCTTCTCTTCGGTGAGTGCCCCCATAGGAAGCACTCATGCGGGCTCGCTCCCAAGCCACCTTGTATGTGTCCATTGACTTGGCCCTTCTCACAAAATTTGATTGATAGCAGTGGGATGGCGGCTATACATCTTTTTACTTGTAAGCGCTTTTTACATTCATTAACTTCAATTGTTTGGTTTGCTACAGGATGATTGCCTATTACGCTTTGATTTACATACCGGCATAGAGGAATTGTCAGGAGCAATGATGGTTTGAATTGTCGCAAAGAGTTTATCTATTCAAGGCTTTATTCATATGCAGTTCTGCATGAGCCGTGCGGTGGTGGGTCTCCTTATTGTTCCACATAGACTGGTGGTCACTGGCTCGGGTTTAGGGTGCATGGAGTGGCACTATATGATGTCCATTTGTTTAACCACTTCAAGTCCGGACATTTTCACCCCCTTCCTGTCCAGGCCATATTTCAGCTTTCAGCGCTGACAATTGCACGGTCATGCAACACTGTACCCATATTAATTTTTTATCATTTGTTTTGAGACAGATGAAAATTTATTTTGGTGGTATTTATTCACCACTGGGATTTTTATTTTTTTTTGCTATATAAATGAAAAAGTCAAAACATTTTGAAAAAAATTTATTTCTTATAACATTTAGCAAATAAATAATCTTTCTTCATTAATCTTGGCCAAAATTTATTCAGTTATCTTTTTAGTAAAAAAAATAATTAAAAAAAAAAATAATTATATATATATATATATATAATAATAACCCAAATTAGTTTATAACCAAAAAAATATAATTTTTCTAAATTTTTATTTTAATTTTTTTTATTATTATTTATGTTTTATTTTTAACATTCTGTCACCCTAGCAGTACAGTGTCACCATAGTGACACTGTACTACTTGTGAAGGGTGATGAAGATTTTTTTTTTTTTTTATAACACATTGCTTTTACACCCATAAAGGCTGTAAAAGCAATCATTTCTCCTTCTCTCTGGCTGCATTCTTGCAGCCATTGAGAAATACTGTGAGAGCTGTGATTGGTCACAGCTTGTCACATGGTACAAGGATGTTGTGAATAGCATTGGGCCATGTGACCTCTGATCATTCACAGATTTCACTATTATTATTATACAGGATTTATATGGCGCCAACAGTTTGCTCAGCGCTTTACAATATAACGGGAGACAATACAGCAACAATACAGTTCAATCCAAGAGGGTTAGGAGGGCCCTGATCCTTGGAGCTTACAATATAGGAACTAGTAGTAAGCAATGATGTCAGAAGTGACATCTTCCTTACTACTCTTCATGTGATCACTGATTGGCCAATCAGTGATCACATGATCTGGACCTCACACAGAGGTCCCGTTCAGCGATTGTTGTCCTCCGGACACAGCGGGCACTGGATCGTGGTGCTGCACGCTCCCAGGGAGCGCGCACAGGCTGTAAATGCAAACGGCCACCCACTCCTGCACTGCTCCCGTCCAGCCGATTATGTCCATGGACCGGACAGGAAGTGGTTACATTACTACACTATATGAATCTCGTTTTTCGGAGGGTCATTTCTCATATACGAGGAGGAACGTTGAAGGAGAAATTCATAGGATTGATCTCCCTTTACAAATCAAACTATTTTTGATTAGAGGGTAAGAGTAAGGATATAACATGGTGGCACTAGGTGACGTTTTTGAGGATGTCATCAATAAGGGGAGGCACAGTGGCTTAGTGGTTAGCACGTCCGCCTTGCAGTAAATGGATCATGGGTTCAATTCCCGATCATAGCGCCTCCTGCATGGAGTTTGCATGTTCTCCCTGTGCTTGCGTGGGTTTCCTCCCCCACACTCCAAAGACATGCTGGTAGGTGAATTGGCTCCTGTCTAAATTGTCCCTAGTATGTGTATGTATGAATGTGAGTTAGGGACCTTAGATTGTACGCCCCTTGAGGGTTAGGGACTGATGTGAATGTACAATAGATATGTAAGGTGCTGCGTAAATTGACGGCGCTATACAAGTACCTGAAATAAATAAATGTGAAGATATAGGAATTGAGCACTTAGAGATCCAAGAAATAAGAACTCACCTACGGACATCATAAGCCTGAGGACTTATAATTACATTTGAATGCTGAGCAATGGTTCATTTCTGGGCTTCCTGCGGAGGAAGTGATTTCTTGGCGACCAGGGGTTGTGTACCACGTGGGTGAATTTATAGGTAACACATATTGCATTTTGTGGTAAAACAATATTTGGTGTTTATTTTGGTATTGGAGTTTAGATAGGTATAAAATCAGCCCCTAGGCATGCAGACTGCTTCTACAAACATTGGTGAAAGAATGGGTCGCTCTCAGGAGCTCAGTGACTCCAAGCGTGGTCCCGTGATAGGTGGTCACCTGTGCAATAAGTCCATCCGTGACATTTCCTGGCTGCTAAATATTCCACGCTCAACTGTTAGTGGGATTATAACAAAGTGGAAGCAACTGGGAACAACAGCAACTCAGCCACCAAGTGGTAGGCCACGTCACGACAGCGGGGTCAGCGCATGCTGAAGCGCACAGAAGTTGCCGACTGTCTGCATCCAAGCCTTACATCACCAAATGCAATGCAAAGCATCTGATGCCGAGGTGTAAAGCACGCCGCCACTGGCAGTGGAGACGTGTTCTCTGGAGTGACCAATCACGCTTCTCTGTCTGGCAATCCGATGGACGTGTCTGAGTTTGGTGGTTGCCAGGAGAATGGTACTTGACTGACTGCATTGTGCCAAGTGTAAAGTTTGGTGGAGGGGGGATTATGGTGTGGGGTTGTTTTTCAGGGGTTGGGCTTGGCCCCCTAGTTCCAGTGAAGGGAACTCTTAAGGTATCAGCATACCAAGACATTTTGGACAATTTCATGCTCCCAACTTTGTGGGAAGAGTTTGGGGATGGCCCCTTCCTGTTCCAACATGACTGCACACCAGTGCACAAAGCAAGGTCCATGAAGACATGGAGGAGCCAGTTTGGGGTGGAGGAACCTGACTGGCCTGCACAGAGTCCTGACCTCAACCCCATAGAACACCTCTGGGATGAATTAGAGTGGAGACTGTGAGCCAGGCCTCCTCCCCCGACATCAGTGCCTGACCTGACAAATGTGCTTCTGGAAGAATGGTCCAACCTTCCCATAGACATCCTCCTAAACCTTGTGGACAGCCTTCCCAGAAGAGATGAAGCTGTTATAGCTGCAAAGGGCGGGGCCAACTCAGTATTGAACCCTACGGACTAAGACTGGGGGGCCATTAAAGTACATGTGCTTGTAATGGCCAGCGACCCAATACATTTGGCAATATACTGTATGTAATTTCCTGCTTGTTTGATTGGCTCACTGATTTTCCCAGATGTCTGCGCTAAGATACAAGTCAGCTTTAGGCATCCCCTGCAACAAAAATTTCATTTTTGGTGAGATACTCCCAAAGGGAAAACGCATCTAAAAGAATGCAGACCCTGCCACTTTCCTTAGAACCCTGCAGATGCAGCAGCTGATTGATAATTATAAAATCACTCCCATACAAAGTCACTCTGCACATGGACACAGACAAGCAAACAACTATTTCTTCAGAATAACAAAAGGTAGGAATCTGCAACAAAGTGTGTGAACATTCTTGCAATGTACATAGAATCTCAGGGCTTAAAATGTCAAGTCCTGAGCTACTAGCCAGGCCTTACAGTTACTCCCACCATCAAACACACACAAACAGACACCTGTACACACATACACACACGCACAGAGACACATGTACACACACACACACACACACACATACAGACACTTATACACACACAGGCACATGTACATACACAGAAATACACATGCACAGACACATGTACATACATACACGTACAATTGTACATGCATACACAAACACGTACACACACACACACACAAAACATGTACAGGTACACCCCCCCCCCCTCCCCATAAAAAGTTGCAGTACTTCGTTGTTCACTCAGAGATCCAGGTACTGCACTCTAGGGGGAGGCAGAGAGCACAGCACACACTCCTTGCTTTGCTTTCACTGCGCTCAGCTATTGAGCAGTCTGACGGCTCCCAGTGCCAATGACAGATGCGGCCTGAGCTCCGAGCCTGCTCAGCAAGACAGCCCTGGGGGACACACTCGCCCCCACTATAATTTCCACTCGCCATTGGCAAGCAGGTAAGTGGAAATTTCAAGCCCTGACATAGATCACCCAGAAGAGTTTTCTCTCAACAAAAAGTGGAGTTACTCTTTAATGCTGGTGACAGACTGCATCATAGCTGTAATTTATTATGGCCAGAGTTCCCCTTTAAAATGCCTTGAAGCAGAGTAATTGGTCGGCATTGGAAACAGATGTATAGAGCGGCAGCGGCAGTCACTGACCCTTAAGAAACTCCGCTCTGCCATCCACTGCAAGAGACATGCCAAGCGCTCGGCCGCTCTTGCCAAAATCTGTTCCTGAGCTGGATGCCCAGCTGTTAATACCCGAGCTAGAAACGGAGCGAGAGGAATATTTATAATGCCTTCAATCTCACAGCTGTCACCCAAAGAGCAGACATTAGCATTTTATTACATGACAACGAAATACCTACAGCAAGAATGATCTCCAGCACCACAAAGCATTTCAGCACCAAAAGGAAATCATATAGGCAGCACATTCTCACGCTGGACGAACCGGGATTATTTTAAAGTAAATATGTGCGGTTCATTTTGTTTCGAATCGATAATTCGGACGAAATTTTAGTTATTCAGAGGTATCCGAATTTCTGAATTACAACCGTAATGAAGTTAAACGAATCTGAAATAATAAAACAAAATTACACCTGCAATTTGAATCAAAATTGAATTCGAAAACAAGAATAGAATCAAACAGAATAGAAAATAAAAGAATACAATAAAGTTACATAGTCTGGCTGAAAAAAGACAAAAGTCCATCCAGTTCAACCATAGAAAAAAAGCTATAATCCTATACTCACAGCTGATCCAGAGGAAGGCAAAATAAACCTTTCTATATTTGGAGATTAAATTTATTTTCCTCCGGACATAAAGAGTGCCCCCTTGTCCTCTGTGATGACCTCAGGGGGAATAACTACACCGAGTTCCCTATGGATGAATGGATTTATACATGGAGATCATATCCCCCCTTATGTATTATACATGGTGATCATACCCCCCCTTATGTATTATACATGGAGATCATACCCCCCCTTATGTATTATACCCCCCCCCCTTATGTATTATACATGGTGATCATACCCCCCCCCTTATGTATTATACACGGAGATCATATCCCCCTTATGTATTATACACGGTGATCATATCCCCCCTTATGTATTATACATGGAGATCATATCCCCCCTTATGTACTATACATGGAGATCATATCCCCCCTTATGTATTATACATGTATTATACATGTGATCATATCCCCCCTTATGTATTATACATGGAGATCATATCCCCCCTTATGTATTATACATGGAGATCATATCCCCCCTTATGTATTATACATGGAGATCATATCCCCCCTTATGTACTATGTACTATACATGGGAGATCATATCCCCCTTATGTATTATACATGGAGATCATATCCCCCCTTATGTATTATACATAAGGGGGGGATATGTATTATACAATACATAAAGGGGGGATATGATCTCCATGTATAATACGTAAGGAGGGATATGATCTCCATGTATAATACATAAGGGGGGGGTATGATCTCCATGTATAGTACATAAGGGGGGATATGATCTCCATGTATAATACATAAGGGGGGATATGATCTCCATGTATAATACATAAGGGGGGATATGATCTCCATGTATAATACATAAGGGGGGATATGATCTCCATGGGGATATAGTACATAAGGGGGGATATGATCTCCATGTATAATACATAAGGGGGGATATGATCACCATGTATAATACATAAGGGGGATATGATCTCCGTGTATAATACATAAGGGGGGATATGATCTCCGTGTATAATACATAAGGGGGGATATGATCTCCATGTATAATACATAAGAGGGGATATGATCTCCATGTATAATACATAAGGGGGGATATGATCTCCATGTATAATACATAAGGGGGGATATATGATCTCCATGTATAATACATAAGGGGGGGATATGATCTCCATGTATAATACATAAGGGGGGGATATGATCTCCATGTATAATACATAAGGGGGGATATGATCTCCATGTATAATACATAAGGGGGGATATGATCTCCATGTATAAATCCATTCATATAGTTTAATAAAAAAGGACCTCATAGATGAGTTCTTGCTGGAAAAAAATATTTTACGCAATAGACAGCATGGATTCATGAAAAAAATACAGAAGTTGTCAAACAAATCTGATTTTTTTTTTATGAGGAGGCGAGCAAAACCTTGGACAGGGAGCTGGCGGTGGACGTGGTATATACTGGCGGTGGACAATACTTGGACAGAGGGCTGGCGGTGGACGTGGTATACTTGGACAGAGGGCTTGGACAGAGGACAGGGGGTGGCAGTGGACGTGGTATACTTGGACAGAGGGGTGGCGGTGGACGTGGTATATACCATGGTGTGCTTGGACAGAGGGGTGGCTGTGGACGTGGTATACTTGGACAGAGGGGTGGCAGTGGGCGTGGTATACTTGGATTTTTTGCAAAAGCATTTGACACAGTTCCCCACACACGGCTAACGTGTAAGGTAAAGTCTACAGGCTTGGAAAAATCCATATTTTTGAATAAAAGATGGTATTCAGAGAGTAGTGGTTAGTGATTCATACACTGAATGGTCTAGGGGTGTCAGTGGTGTACCCCAAGGTTCAGTGTTATTAGTGGTGTACCCCAAGGTTCAGTGTTGGGACCTTTACTTTTTAATATATTTATCAACAATCGGGTCTGAGATTATAAATCCCATTTCAGTCTTTGCAGATGACACCAAGCTGTGCCGTGGAATAAACGTCCTTACAGGATGTCTCCAACTTACAAGCCGACCTCAATGCTCTGTGTAATTGGGCAACTATGTGGCAAATGAGGTTTAATGTTGATAAATGTAAGGTTCTGCACTTGGGGGCTAACAATATACATATACATGGAGATCATATCCCCCCTTATGTATGATACATGGAGATCCTATCCCCCCTTATGTATTATACATGGTGATCCTATCCCCCCTTATGTATTATACATGGTGATCCTATCCCCCCTTATGTATTATACATGGAGATCATATCCCCCCCCTTATGTATTATACATGGAGATCATATCCCCCCCTTATGTATTATACATGGAGATCATATCCCCCCTTATGTATTATACATGGAGATCATATCCCCCTTATGTATTATACATGGAGATCATATCCCCCCTTATGTATTATACATGGAGATCATATCCCCCTTATGTATTATACATGGAGATCATATCCCCCCCTTATGTATTATACATGGAGATCATATCCCCCCTTATGTATTATACATGGAGATCATATCCCCCCTTATGTATTATACATGGTGATCATATCCCCCTTATGTATTATACATGGTGATCATATCCCCCCTTATGCATTATACATGGAGATCATATCCCCCCTTATGTATTATACATGGTGATCATATCCCCCTTAATCTCCTCTTCTTAAGAGAGAATAAATTCAGTTCCTCTAATCTTTCCTCATAGCTGATCTCCTCCATGCCTCGTATCAGTTTGGTTGCCCTTCTCTGTACTTTCTCCAGTTCCCCAATGTTCTTTTTGTGAATTGGTGCCTAAAACTGAACTGCATATTCCAGATGATGTCTTACTAATGATTTGTACCGGGAAAAATGAGATCTCTCTCACTGGAATCTATACGTCTTTTAATAGAACAGAGGATTTTTCTTGCTTTAGATCCCGCAGCTTGGCATTGCATGCAATTATTAAGCTTGTGATCTACCAGATCCCCCAGATTCTTCACCATTGACCCCCCAGTTGTACCCCCCCAGTATGTATGATGCATGCATATTCTTAGCCCCCAAGTGCAAAACCTTACATTTATCAACATTATACCTCATTTGCCACATAGTTGCCCAATTACACAGAGCATTGAGGTCGGCTTGTAAATTGGAGACATCCTGTAAGGACGTTATTCCCCGGCACAGCTTGGTGTCATCTGCAAAGACTGAAATGGGATTTTTAATCCCAGACCCTATATTGTTTATAACTATATTAAACAGTAAAAGTCCCAACACTGAACCTTGGGGTACACCACTAATAACACTGAACCTTGGGGTACCCCACTGGCACCCCTAGACCATTCAGAGTATGAATCACTAACCACTACTCTCTGAATACCATCTTTTATTCAAAAATATGGATTTTTCCAAGCCTGTAGACTTTACCTTACACGTTAGCTGTGTATGGGGAACTGTGTCAAATGCTTTTGCAAAATCCAAGTATACCACATACCCCTCTGTCCAAGTATACCACGTCCACCGCCAGCCCTCTGTCCAAGTATACCACGTCCACCGCCAGCCCTCTGTCCAAGTATACCAAGTCCACCGCCACCCCTCTGTCCAAGTATACCAAGTCCACCGCCAGCCCTCTGTCCAAGTATACCAAGTCCACCGCCAGCCCTCTGTCCAAGTATACCAAGTCCACCGCCAGCCCTCTGTCCAAGTATACCAAGTCCACCGCCACCCCTCTGTCCAAGTATACCACGTCCACCGCCACCCCTCTGTCCAAGTATACCACGCCACCCCTCTGTCCAAGTATACCACGTCCACCCACCCCTCTGTCCAAGTATACCACGTCCACCGCCACCCCTGTCCAAGGTTTTGCTGTGTCCACCGCCACCCCTCTGTCCAATTATATCACGTCCACCGCCACCCCTCTGTCCAATTATACCAAGTCCACCGCCACCCCTCTGTCCAATTATATCACGTCTACCGCCACCCCTCTGTCCAATTATACCAAGTCCACCGCCACCCCTCTGTCCAATTATATCACGTCCACCGCCACCCCTCTGTCCAATATACCACGTCCACCACCAGCCCTCTGTCCAAGGTTTTGCTCACCTCTTCATAAAAAAAAAAAAATCAGATTTGTTTGATAACTTCTGTCTTTCATGAATCCATGCTGTCTGTTGCGTAAAATATTTATTTCCAGCAAGAACTCATCTATGAGGTCTTTAATTAAACTCTCCAGTATCTTCCCAACTATAGAAGTAAAACTAACAGGTCTGTAATTACTTGGTAAAGATTTTGACCCCTTTTTAAATATTGGCACCACATTGGCCTTACGCCAATCCAGTGGTACTATGCCAGTCATTAAAGAGTCCCTAAAAATTAAAAACTATGGCTTTGAAATGACAGAGCTCAATTCTTTAAGGCCCCATGGGTGTATGCCACCCGGTCCAGGTGCTTTATTCACCTTTATTATGTCTAAATATTTTTGGATCATATCAATTGTGAGCCAATGTGGATCATCTGGGGGGTGTCGGTACCACGCCCATTATGGACAAGAGCCCCCCATGCTCCTTTGCATACACAGAGCTGCAGAAGGGATTTCATACATTTGCCTTCTTTGTCCCCAGTCACCCCCTCTAGATGATCCTGTAAAGGGCCTACATGCTCGGACCGGACCTTTCTACTATGAATATATTTGAAGAATTTTTTGGGGTTGGTCCTGCTGTCTCTTGCAATCTGTCGCTCGGTTTCAATTTTTGCAGCCTTTATTTCCTTTTTGCATATTCTGTTATATTCTTTGAAATGTTTTTTGAAACGTTCCTTCATTTTTATATTTAATAAAAGCTCTTTACCTATAAATTACAGCTTCTTTTAACTTTGGCCGTAAGCCACATAGGTTTGATTTTTAGACTTATAAACTTGTTGCCCATGGGAATATATTTTGCAGTGTGTTCACGTACAGTCTTTTTGAAGAACTCCCATTTCTGTGTTGTGTTCATCGCTGCCAATATTCCCTCCCAGTCTAAGTCTTGGAGAGCAGCTCTCAGCCTTGACAAATTAGCTCTTTTAAAGTTAAGCATTTTCATTTTTTCTGTATGTGCTTGCTGTTTACAGCTAACAATAAATGAAATCATGTTATGGTCACTGCTACCCAGATGTTCTTTTAGATGGACATTCGTAATAAGCTCTGCATGGTTTGAGATTACCAGGTCAATCAGAGCATCATTCCTAGGTGGGACCTCTATGAACTGTACATAAAATTGTCATGTAGTGGGTTTATATATTTATGCCCTTTAACTGTTCCTGCAGTACCAATAGAAAAGAATAGAATAAAAACAAGAATGAACAGAATAAATTTGATTTCCAATAGATTAGATCAGAATAGAATAGAAAAGAATAGAGAATAAAAGAACAGAAAAAATATTTTTTTGAAATTTGAATTGAACACATTTGAATTCGAATAGAAAAATAGAAAAGAACGGAAAAGAAATTCGAACTGAATAGATTCAAACTTGAATAGAATACATTAGAAAAAAAAATACAAAATAGAAAAGAATAGAATAAAAAAAAAGTAAAAACTAGAAAACAAAAGAACAGAATGAAAAGAACAGAGCATAAAAAATGTAATAGAGTAGAAAAGAAAAAGAAAGAATATAACAGTCTTGCTAAATTCGAATAGAATAAATTTGAATGCCGATTAGAATTTTCTGAATTCAGTCTAATTGAATTCAATTTGACTGAATTCTGAAATTTCAAATAAATGAAACAAATTCTGAAAACAAATTTAACTAAAGTAATATTTTTAAATAATGAATCGACACAAAATGAAACAAATTGTTATATTCTGCACGTTTTTTTTTTTTTATAAGGAGGTTTAACACTATAAAGCTCAGCTCTAGATTATTCAGAAAAAAAAAAAAAAATCAAGAGCAGAGTTGTATAAATCTTGAAATATAACCTATTGAGTGTGATCTGCAATGTAACATTTCAAAGAAAGCAGAATTATAAATACTAACAGCCCAGTTCATTAAAGCAGAACTTTACTCTCTCAAATTAACTGAAATTTGGGCGGGGGGGGGGGGGGGGGGGGGCGCAGCCCTCCCCAACACCCCCCTAGATCTGACTCTACAGCATTTACTTACCCTGGCGCCCCTGCATTTGTTGCTATTGGGAACATGGCAGCCTCTGCATCCCATCCAGCCGTGCATTTACATTGTCAATGTAGGCTGCTATGTTTGCATGGCATCTCCAGCGTCCCTCTAGATGGGTCCCAGGGCTGCATGCTGAACTCTCTGGGGCTGCACGTTGGACACCACTTTTTTTTTTTTATTCCCGAAAAAAGAAAATACTGCAAGTGAACAAAAAACGTGCAAGTGCAAAATCCCAACACAAAAAAGTGTACTTAGTGGTGTGCTTTAGTCCACCTCCCAAAGGGGTAGGATCTCTACCCTAATTCCCCAGGGCGTGAGGCTCCTTGCAGGGACCGAGGTTTCCACATGGTCTGCCTAGCCAAAAGGCCTGGTGGACCCCTCTCCTTGTGGCTAGCCGAAGCCGACCACCAAGTACTAGGTCAGGGGGCTCTCCCGAAGAGAGACCCCCCCCTCCCCCCCCCCCAGGAACAGGGTAGGAAGGAACCAAAAGGCCACACATCTTCCCCCTAGACTTCAGGGCAGGCCCGAGGACCCACAGCTTACCATGCATGAAAAAAAACCCCCACACACATACAGGTGAAACTCAAAAAATTAGAATATGGTGCAAAATTTCATTTATTTCAGTAATGCAACTTAAAAGGTGAAACTAATATATGAGACTCATTACATGCAAAGCAAGATAGTTCAAGCCGTGATTTGTCATCATTGTGATGATTATGGCTTACAGCTCATGAAAACCCCAAATCCACAATCTCAGAAAAATAGAATATTGTGAAAAGGTGCAATATTCTCGGCTCACAGTGTCCCACTCTAATCAGATCATTAAACCATAACACTTGCAAAGGGTTCCTGAGCCTTTAAATGGTCTCTCAGTCTGGTTCAGTAGGAATCACAATCATGGGAAAGACTGCTGACCTGACACCATCATTGACACCCTCCATAAGGAGGGAAAGCCTCAAAAGGGAATTGCAAAAGAAGTTGGATGTTCCCAAAGTGCTGTATCAAAGCACATTAATAGAAAGTTATGTGGAATGGAAAAGTGTGGAAGAAAAGGGTGCACAAGCAGCAGGGATGACTGTAGCCTGGAGAGCATTGTCAGGAAAAGGACATTCAAAAGTGTTGGGGACTTTCACAAGGAGTGGACTGAGGCTGGAGTCAGTGCATCAAGAGTCACCACACACAGACGGATCCTGGACATGGGCTTCAAATGTCATATTCCTCTTGTCGAGCCGCTCCTGAACAACAAACCACGTCAGAAGCGTCTTACCTGGGCTAAAGAAAAACAGACCTGGTCTGTTGCTCAGTGGTCGAAAGTCCTCTTTTTGATGAGAGCAACTTTTGCATCTCATTTGGAAACCAAGGACCCCGAGTATGGAGGAAGAATGGAGAGGCCCAAGGACCCCGAGTATGGAGGAAGAATGGAGAGGCCCAAGGACCCAGAGTATGGAGGAAGAATGGGGAGGCCCAAGGACCCAGAGTATGCAGGAAGAATGGAGAGGCCCAAGGACCCCGAGTATGGAGGAAGAATGGAGAGGCCCAAGGACCCCGAGTATGGAGGAAGAATGGAGAGGCCCAAGGACCCAGAGTATGGAGGAAGAATGGAGAGGCCCAAGGACCCCGAGTATGGAGGAAGAATGGAGAGGCCCAAGGACCCCGAGTATGGAGGAAGAATGGAGAGGCCCAAGGACCCCGAGTATGGAGGAAGAATGGAGAGGCCCAAGGACCCCGAGTATGGAGGAAGAATGGAGAGGCCCAAGGACCCCGAGTATGGAGGAAGAATGGAGAGGCCCAAGGACCCCGAGTATGGAGGAAGAATGGAGAGGCCCAAGGACCCAGAGTATGGAGGAAGAATGGAGAGGCACACACTGCAAGATGCTTGAAGTCCAGTGTGAAGTTTCCACAGTCTGTGTTGATTTGGGGAGCCATGTCATCTGCTGGTGTTGGTCCACTGTGCTTCATTAAGTCCAGGGTCAACGCAGCCGTCTACCAGGAGATTTTGGAGCACTTCATGCTTCCTTCCGCAGACGAGCTTTATGGGGATGCTGACTTCATTTTCCAGCAGGACTTGGCACCCGCCCACACTGCCAAAAGCACCAAAACCTGGTTCATTGACCGTGGGATTACTGTGCTTGATTGGCCAGCAAACTCGCCTGACCTGAACCCCATAGAGAATCTATGGGGCATTGCCAAGAGAAAGAGGAGAGACATGAGACTGAACAATGCAGAAGAGCTGAAGGCCGCTATTGAAGCATCCTGGTCTTCCATAACACCTCAGCAGTGCCACAGGCTGATAGCTTCCATGCCACGCCGCATTGAGGCACTAGTCAATGGACTCTCTGCCTCCCCGGTAGATACCTTTGAATCAGGAGGCACTTGGGCCCCTCCGGTTTTCCTGGGGGAATTACTCCCAGGCCTCAACTGCCTGTGGGCACCACGGTTTCTGTTCTAGTGGTAATAGCCTTCACAGCCCCCATTATACCAGCAGGAGTACTATGCAGCCAACTATCCTTGCCAAGAGATAAGAATGATGGTGGAGCACCCCTATTGGACACTGATAAGAAGAGATACTACACTTGATCTTGGCCAAGAAGCAGCACCAGTTGTTACCTGTTCAGCTGCTATGCCTTCTGCTGAGTCTCACCTAAAGCACTACAATGAGTAAAGCCCACGCTCCCTGCTGACTGGCGAGCTCTGGCTCAGTGTGTGTGTGTGTGTGTGGGGGGGGGGGGGGGGGGTATGCCGGACCTCTGCAGAGAAATACTCTTTGTGTGGAAGCAGTGGTCTCTCTGCAGAGGTTCTATACGCCTCCTGCTGAGTCACAGCTATAGCCCTACAATGAGTAAAGCCCATGCTCCCTGCTGATTGGAGAGCTCTGGCTCAGTCTTGGAGGGATGGGAGGTATGTCAGACAGACCTCTGCAGAGAAATGCATTCTCAATGCGGAAGCAGTGGTCTCCCGGCAGAGGTTCTATACGCCTCCTGCTGGGTCACACATTATAGAACTACAATGAGTAAAGCCCAACGAGTAAAGCCCTGGGATGTCAGACCTCTGCAGAGAAATGCTCTTTTTGCGGAAGCAGCGGTCTCTCTGCAGAGGTCATATACACCCTGGTTCAGTGAAGGGGGGGGGGGGTATACTAGACCCCTGCAGAGAAATACATTCTCAGTGTGGAAACAACAGTCTCTCTACAGAGGTCATATACACTCTGGCTCAGTGAAGGGGGGCACGCCAGACCTCTGCAGAGGAAAGCTCTTTGTGTGGAAGCAGCGGTCTCTCTGCAGAGGCCATATATACCCTGGCTCAGGGAAGGGTGGTTTGCCAGACCTCTGCAGAGAAATGCATTCTCAGTGTGGAAGCAGCAGTCTCTCTGCAGAGGCCACATATACCCTGGCTCAGTGAAGGGTGGTATGCCAGACCTCTGCAGAGAAATGCATTCTCAGTGTGGAAGCAGCGGTCTCTCTGCAGAGATTCTATATGCCTCCTGCTGACTTACACCCTTGGGACTACAATGCACACAGCTCATGCTCCCTGCTGATTGGACAGCTGCGGCTCAGCGGGGGATGTGTCAGACCTCTGCAGAGAGACCACTGCTTCCTTACAAAGAGCATTTCTCTGCAAAGGTCTGACATCCCCCCACACTGAGCCAGGGTGTATGTGACTTCTGCAGTGAGACCACTGAGGGCGCAAGGGTCTCGCTCTGCTACCAAAGCACCAAACATCCCAGATTTTGTAAAGGAACGCCTTAGTAGAGTGTTAGAGTTCCATTCAAAGTGAAGGGCAGCACTATGCGTATAATGTGCGCTGCATGTAAATGGGTCCCAGGGAAAATCTTCCACATGGGGAAATAACAACCTCCAAGTCTCTATCCCTCCTCCAGCCATAATACACAGGAGGTTCTATGGCCACAGCAGTGGAAGGAGTTCCAGGAGCCCGGGGTGGGGAAGGGAGAGGGCAGACACAGATGGGAGGGAAAGTGAAGATGTGAGGCTTCACACTCACGGCATGTCGCGAATTCCCCCAGATAGCTGCTGTCAATCTTAGCTGGGCGCCCCGTGCACCGCTATATCTCTACCCCCGGGAACATCCTCCCTCAAACTTCCGTTCCGCCCTCTCCTCCCTTCCCGCTGTCCGCCAGGCAGTGACATTCCTTCAAGCTCTTAAAACCGCAGTAGCTTATATACTAAAAGTTCAAATCTTCTCCACCGCTTCACCTCCTCGTGAGAGCAGCTAATAAAGCGTGGCAAGGATTTAGTGAGTTGCCCCTCCTTAAGCGGCCATCTTTGTTTTGGGAAATCAAAGTCACTTCCGGCCCCGCGTTCCCCTGGTAACGGCACAGCCGCGTTGAACAGAGGCTCGGGGAGCACCCAGTGAGGTGAGAGTGGTCTGCTGGGGTGGGGAAGTATGATGTTCCTGTCCGCCTTGGGCCCTCAGGGGCCACACTGTGCTAGCAGGCTCCTCTGTGGAGTGTCTGGCTCTTAAAGAGGACCTGTCATGGGGGATTTCTGTACCCCATAGAATTGCTGCTTGTCTGTGGCTGGTGATGTGAAAGAGATTCCCATCAACTGGAGCTGATGGTGATACAGATTGTATATTTATAGAATTAAAGTGTATATACACCCCAAAATATACCTGCTCACCAGGCATGAGATTAAGTTTCTTTTTCCAGGGCTTTCCCTTTATTTTTCTGCCAGCAACACACTTCCTGTCCCGGGGTGACAACGCTGCTCCCTCACAGATACGGGGTGAGCGAGCGTTGTCACCCTGAGACAGGAAGTGTGTTCCATAACAGGACTACAGAACACATCCCCCCCCCCCCCCCCCTCCGTTACATCTCCACACAAGACACAGAGACAGCAGTGGAAGCCATTGGCTCCTGCTGATGTCAATCAAATCCTATGAGGTGGGGGGGGGGGGGGGGGGTGTGGCAGAAGCGCTCTGTGTGTGTCAGTAGATGCAGGCATTGCAGCTCGGGATTGAGCCCACACAAGTGCCCCGATAGGACTCTGCTTCCTTTGGGGAGCTTTGCTCCCATCACGCACGGCAGATACTGTATTCTATTTGAATTTTGGAAGATGGTTATATTCATTCTATTCTATTCTTTTATATTCAATTCTTTTATTTTCTATTCTATTTATTGTTTGTTTTTTTCTCTTCTCTTTACTTATTTTCTATTCAAATTCAAATTTATTCTATGCAAAAGACAGTTCTAGTCTAATCTTTTCTATTCAAATTTATTCTATTTTGGAAGATGATTCTAATCTATTCTATTCAATTCTTTTATATTCTATTGTTTTTTTCTCTTCTATTCTCTTATTTTCTACTCTTTTCTATTCTATTCAAATTCAAATTTATTCTATGCGAAAGACAGTTCTATTATATTCTATTCTTTTCTTTTCTATTCAAATTTATTCTATTCGAATTTTGGAAGATGACTATGTTCATTCTATTCTTTTCTATTCTTTTCTATTCAATTCTTTTCTTTTCTATTCTATTGTTTTTTTCTCTTCTATTCTCTTATTTTCTACTCTTTTCTATTCTTTTCAAATTCAAATTTATTCTATGCGAAAGACAGTTCTATTATATTCTATTCTTTTCTTTTCTATTCAAATTTATTCTATTCGAATTTTGGAAGATGACTATATTTCATTCTATTCCATTCTTTTCTATTCAATTCTTTTTTTCTATTGTTTTTTTCTCTTCTATTGTCTTATATTCTACTCTTTTCTATTCAAATTCCAATTTATTCAATGCGAAAGACAGTTATATTCTATTCTTTTCTATTCATATTTATTCTATTCGAATTTTGGAAGATGACTATGTTCATTCTATTCAATTCTTTTCTTTTCTATTCTATTGTTTTTTTCTCTTCTATTCTCTTATTTTCTACTCTTTTCTATTCTATTCAAATTTATTCTATGCGAAAGACAGTTCTATTATATTCTATTCTTTTCTTTTCTATTCAAATTTATTCTATTCGAATTTTGGAAGATGACTATATTCATTCTATTCAATTCTTTTCTTTTCTATTCTTTTGTTTTTTTCTCTTCTATTCTCTTATTTTCTACTCTTTTCTATTCTATTCAAATTTATTCTATGCGAAAGACAGTTCTATTCTATTCTATTCTTTTCTTTTATATTCAAATTTATTCTATTCGAATTTTGAAAGATGATTATGTTCATTGTATTCTATTCTTTTCTATGCTATTGTTTTTTTTCTCTTCTATTGTCTTATATTCTACTCTTTTCTATTCTATTCAAATTCGAATTTATTCTATGCGAAAGACAGTTATATTCTATTCTTTTCTGTTCAAATTTATTCTATTTGAATTTCGCAAAATGGTTATATTCAAACTATTCTATTCTTTATTATTCAATTCTTTTCTATTCTATTGCTTTTTTTCTCTTCTATTCTCTTGTTTTCTATTTTATTCAAATTAGAGTTTATTCAATGCGAAAGACAGTTATATTCTATTCTTTTCTATTCAAATTTATTCTATTCGAATTTCATAAGACAGTTCTATTCATTCTATTTTCTTCTATCCTATTGTTTTTTTCTATTCTATTTTTTTCTATTCTATTCAAATGTATTCTATTCGAATTTCGTAAGACAGTTATATTCGTTCTATTTTATGCTATGCTATTGTTTTTTTTTTTAATTCTATTCTATCGTTTTCTATTTAAATTTATTCTAATCGAATTTCATAAGACAGTTATATTCATTCATTTTATTCTATCCTATTGTTTTTTTTTCCATTCTATTGTTTTCTATTGTATTCAAATTTATTATATTCAAATTTTTGAATACAGTTATATTCTTTCTATTTTATTCCTATTGTTTTTTCTATTCTATTTTATTTTCTATTCTGTTCTATTCTATTCTTTTCATATTCAAATGTTATTTGAATTCCAATTTGGTTTCGTTATTGCGGATTCGTTACTATTGTTGTTTGGAAATTTGGAGACATCCGAATAACGAAAAATTAGTTTGAATTGGGAATGAAACGAACCGCACATGTCTGAAAGAAATGCAGTGAAGGTGTCTGCATGCAGTGTCTATTGGTAGAGTGTATTCCTGGGCGTCCGCCCGCTCACCAATCCTGAAGATACCGAGACTCAGGAGAAGAAGATGTCCTGGAAAAGGCTCTTGAAGAATCCATGTCCAGTGGGAGGTGCCTGAACTGTGCACCTGCTGATGCTGGATCTCAGCCGGGTCTGTCCCGATGACAATGATAGTGACCCTGAACAGTCACTCGACCGACGGGCTGGAAATCGATGGTCTTCCTGCAGGTATATGGCCACTGCAGATTCGCTGTCTGGACCGCAAGGCCTGCTCTAACTCTCCAGAGCAGCTGGTCCCCTCCTCTTCACCTCAGGCAGTGATCCCAAGAGGGCAAACTTTTCCTGGCCTGGGGTATGCATATCTTCTCCCAGCATGCCCCCTTCTCTCCAGTTGGCTCGACCTTGTAGTTTACTTGTCTTGTACCTGGTCAGAGGCCAAAGTGCTGGGAGTGCTGAGTGTGGAACACCCCTGGAGGTAGGGGAGGAGGATGCTCGGCCCAAAGAAGCACGGGTTGCCAACTGTAGGAGCCTAAAGAGCTGAGATGATGGTCACCTAATCACCTGAAGATGTCAGGACCAGCAGGAGTGACTGCAGAGCAGATGTTCTCCAGAAGTGGCAGGCAGTACTTGACAGCAGGCAGGAAGCAGGGTCAGCAGCCAGGAAAGTGGTCAGCAGCCAGGAAAGTGGTCATGCACAGAAGGTCAATCAGGAACAAGAAGCAAGATCAGGAGCAGGCCGAGGTCAAACACGTGTGATCAGGCAGAAGCAAGATCAGGAGCAGGCCGAGGTCAAACACAGGTGATCAGACAGAAGTAAGATCAGGAGCAGGCCGAGGTCAAACACGGGTGATCAGGCAGAAGCAAGATCAGGAGCAGGCCGAGGTCAAACACGGGTGATCAGGCAGAAGCAAGGTCAGGAGCAGGCTGAGGTCAAACACGTGTGATCAGGCAGAAGTAAGATCAGGAGCAGGCTGAGGTCAAACACGTGTGATCAGGCAGAAGTAAGATCAGGAGCAGGCCGAGGTCAAACACGTGTGATCAGGCAGAAGCAAGTTTAGGAGCAGGCCGAGGTCAAACACGGGTGATCAGGCAGAAGCAAGTTTAGGAGCAGGCCGAGGTCAAACACGGGTGATCAGGCAGAAGCAAGGTCAGGAGCAGGCCGAGGTCAAACACGGGGGATCAGGCAGACGCAAGGTCAGGAGCAGGCCGAGGTCAAACACGTGTGATCAGGCAGAAGCAAGTTTAGGAGCAGGCCGTGGTCAAACACGTGTGATCAGGCAGAAGCAAGTTTAGGAGCAGGCCGAGGTCAAACACGTGTGATCAGGCAGAAGCAAGGTCAGGAGCAGGCCGAGGTCAAACACGTGTGATCAGACAGAAGCAAGGTCAGGAGCAGGCCGAGATCAAACACGGGTGATCAGGCAGAAGCAAGGTCAGGAGCAGGCCGAGGTCAAACACAGGTGATCAGACAGAAGTAAGATCAGGAGCAGGCCGAGGTCAAACACGGGTGATCAGGCAGAAGCAAGATCAGGAGCAGGCCGAGGTCAAACACGGGTGATCAGGCAGAAGCAAGATCAGGAGCAGGCCGAGGTCAAACACGGGTGATCAGGCAGAAGCAAGGTCAGGAGCAGGCTGAGGTCAAACACGTGTGATCAGGCAGAAGTAAGATCAGGAGCAGGCTGAGGTCAAACACGTGTGATCAGGCAGAAGTAAGATCAGGAGCAGGCCGAGGTCAAACACGTGTGATCAGGCAGAAGTAAGATCAGGAGCAGGCCGAGGTCAAACACGTGTGATCAGGCAGAAGCAAGTTTAGGAGCAGGCCGAGGTCAAACACGGGTGATCAGGCAGAAGCAAGTTTAGGAGCAGGCCGAGGTCAAACACGGGTGATCAGGCAGAAGCAAGGTCAGGAGCAGGCCGAGGTCAAACACGGGTGATCAGGCAGAAGCAAGGTCAGGAGCAGGCCGAGGTCAAACACGTATGATCAGGCAGAAGCAAGTTTAGGAGCAGGCCGAGGTCAAACACGTGTGATCAGGCAGAAGCAAGGTCAGGAGCAGGCCGAGGTCAAACACGTGTGATCAGGCAGAAGCAAGTTTAGGAGCAGGCCGAGGTCAAACACGTGTGATCAGGCAGAAGCAAGGTCAGGAGCAGGCCGAGGTCAAACACGGGTGATCAGGCAGAAGCAAGGTCAGGAGTAGGCCGAGGTCAAACACGTGTGATCAGACAGAAGCAAGGTCAGGAGCAGGCCGAGATCAAACACGGGTGATCAGGCAGAAGCAAGTTTAGGAGCAGGCCGAGGTCAAACACGTGTGATCAGGC